GGCTGTTCTCCAAACTAGGTCACAGATAAACTATTGGGCCAATATATTTCCAGTATAGTCCAAATTAGCTTTAGAGCTGGATTGAAGATTGTGCAAAGCTATAGTACATGGGAACAAAGTGGCTGTCCACCTACATCCATGCAGCAACCACTGGAACTAACTTCTGAAGCAACCGTGTGAGATTCTGGAAACATGACTGCTTTAGCTGTTCAAAACAAGGAGCTTGGTAGGTGCTTTCACATGCTGTTGAGCACCCATTTCTAAGCATCTGTACTGCCCCACTAGATGTAGCTCTAAATGGCTCTTCATGTTTCACATACAGAGGGAAGGGCTCATAATGTTCAGGGAGTGGAGATTCAGCCCTTTTCTCATCAGCTGGAATCCTGAAAAAAAATCCTCTTCTGAAGCTCTTTGCACTGGAACAAAATATCTCAGATAGTATTATTGATATTTGTGGGGGAGGTGTTTATTCATTTGTTTAATAAACAGATATTTATTATCTCCCTTTTGTTTTTCTTTCCAGGTTTTCTGGCCAGCTCCTAAGGAGCAGGTGAAGCATTGCAGGCTGGCTGGGAAGAATCCTGAGGTAAATAAGGTTTTCGGGTCCACGCTGCAGTCTTTGGGCTGCATATGGTCCTCCAAACCCACTTTTGCAATCTGTGAAGAATTGCAGCACATTCAGTTGCAAAAGGCCAATTTCCTAATTATTCCTTAGGATTGGTGCGATAGGCATCTGTTCATCCTCCTTTGGAATCTGCCCAACAACATCTGCCTTGCCACACAGTTTAATCAGTGGCTTAAACAATGGAACTCAATTGGTTAAGGAATGTATTGAGTTTAGGCTCTGTGTAACTTCACTGGGGTCACTATTATGGCCTTCAGTGTAACATTAGTAAGATCCATCCTGTGCTTTTCAGCTGCATGGTGCAAATGAAGAATGCCGGGCAGCTAACACAAAGGGACTTCCCTGTGGTCATGGAAGATTTGATGGATTATCTGGGCAGCATCTGAAGTGCTGAAGTGCGAACAATTCAAATGGACATGCTGTAAACCAGTGTTTCTCAACCTTGGCAACTTTAAACTGTATGGATGCTGGCTGGGGAATTCTGGAAATTGAACTCCATACAGCTTAAAGTTGCCAAGGTTGGGAAACACTGCTGTAGACTAATTAGATATATTTAACGTTAAGCAAATACTCTTCCGCTTAAATAGCATTTGCCTTTTTTACCTTTGACTGCACTGTGAGTCTGCTCTAGGCAATGTCTCAATCCTCTGGCGCAGATCTGGGAAGTCAAAGGGATGCCAAACTAAAGGTGCATCCCATTTGCTGGCAGATGCTATTCTCTCAGCAAATAAACCTAATCAGATTATATCTGTTAGGTTCAGAATTGATGACGATCAGAGATATGGATTATTTTCTTCCATGGAAAGTGTGCTCAATCAAAGCAGAATTTGTTTAAGTATAATCTACCCATCTTTCTGTCTTTTCCAGACAGAATGTGCCAATTTCATTCGCTTTCTGCAGCGTTTCAACCACACTCATGTGTTTGCCTGTGGAACTGGCTCCTATCAACCTGTGTGTGCCTTCATTCAACTCAAAGGTGGAGCTAAGGTGAGTTTCTCCTACCAGGCTGGTACTATAAACAACTAATATGAAGCAAAAGCTTTTGGCAGTAAATTCTAAATATCCTACTATATAAGTACTATCCGTCCATCTATTTTCTCTCTTGCTCTCAACCTTGGGCATCATAGGCTATTGTTTGCAACTGTTATTTTAATCTTTGTACATCTATGTATGCATGTATGTATGTAAGTAAACCAGAGGTAAAATGTTACCCATTTTTCTAAGTACCATGCCCAGTTCTTTCCCTGAAAATTAGAAGAGCCGCCACCTGCTTGTCAAACTTGGCTCAGAAAATGACCTGAGCATCTGTCCGTGCCCTCTGTCCAGACCAGTGAAGAAACTCTGAACATTTACAGACAAAACCAGTCTTTCTTGGTAATCAATCTCTTCTGCAATGATTCTGCCCTCTCTCCTCTTCCTCCAGTGAATATAGCCCTGCAATCTTCTTGCTTGGGTTGGTTCCATAGATGTCCATCGGATTCCATTAGGGTTTTAAGGTTCATTTTTAGCATTAGTAAAATAAAAGTTTTTAAACTAATTTTTTTTCCTTTTTATTGTTGTAAGTCACCTAGAGCAGACATGTCAAACACAAGGCCCAGGGAAGTAGTTTCATGTGGTCCGCGAAGCCATCCTGGAAACAGTGAGGGAACGGCCCCCACTGCCTTGGCCCTGGCCCAGGCCAGCCGGGAGAAAATGTAAAATTTTGTGGTGGCCATCTTGGCACTTGTCCTGGTGGACCATGCCTTGGCACTTGCCCTGGTCCTACCCCCTTCTGCCAGAGACCCTCAGATCTGTCCCACTCCTGTCCAGGTCCCCACAGGCACCCTTGACGCGAATAATGTAGAACTGGCCACGCCCACCCAGTAGGCCACACCCACTCCATCCACACCCGCCCAGTAGGCCGCACCCACCCTGGTCACACCCACCCGGCCCCCCGAGGGCAACCACAATGCTGATGCGGCCCTCAGTGAAATTGAGTTTGACACCCCTGACCTAGAGTAACTCCATGGTGAGATAGGCTGCAAATAAATTTAACAAATAGATAAAGGAAAGGAAAAATAACGGATAGCATATATTTTTTAACACTCATATTCCTTAATCTGCTTCACTACATGACGGAACGTAATGAAACCCTGGTTTATTTTTTTTAAAAAACTGGGTAGAATAGGTAAGAACAGGTAAATGTTAGCGGTCACATTAACTCGCACTAGTGGAGTAGGGTGAAAAAAATCTCTACGTCAAATCCCATACTACTCATCTGGATGATTTATCATTCAATCTCCTAAAAATTAATCCTTTCTATGTTCAAAGAACAAGGGTGCTTCACTAAGAAAAATGGATGGTTGTGATTATGGGGTATCACCTTCCTGTCTCCTTTTCAGGAAGTCTAAAGGTCCCTCTTTTGAACTACTGAGCCTTTTCCTTTGATGGCCTCTAATTCCTTAATACTTTTCTTACTCTTTAAATCAAACTGAAGTGCTTTCTTGCCCTGCTGCAGGAACCAGGAATATTAGCTATGCAACTGATGACCCACTCCATAGAATCTGGGAGAGGCAAATGTCCGTATAGCCCACATGAGCATTTTGCAGGGTTGCTAATAGGTAAGAGCAACTGTGAACTGAAAGCTGCAACAGAAACCTAGACAATGTAGACATAGGAAGAGCCCACGCAGCATCTCTACATGTGTGTATATAGCCATGAAATAGCTTTCCCTAACTTGGTAATGTCTAGATATGTTGGATCGCCTCTCCTAAAACAGCATGATTATTGACTTTATTGATTGAGAAATACAGCACATGTGGTCCTACACATACAAGGATAATCAGATTGGGGCAGTTATTAAAGGTAGCTTGGACAATGTATATATATTTCAGGCATCCATTCAACAGAGATTTCTGTTGTATTTTTCCCATGATACTGCCTGCGTCTTATCTCAGGAAACACTTCATCTGTTGAAAGCCAGGAGAAAGGCACCAGCTGTATGCTAGCTCACTTTACATTCTTCATTCAAAATGTACAGAATAAAATTATGAGGGACGTCCTTTTGTGTGGTGTGCATGCAAGGCAGATATGCATATGCATATACAGGGGTACCTTGGTACTCAACTGCTTTGAAACTCATTGAATTTAGTACTCAACACATTTTGACGTGAAAAATTTGTCCCGGTACTCATTATTTGTTTGGTACTCAACGCACAAGATAGAACCTGTCGGTGTCGGATGCCTTGTGACTCACTACATTATTCCTTATGGGAAAACTTTGTTTGGTACTCACCATTTTTGGTACTTGCCGTGCCTCCAAAAACCAATTAACGATGAGTACTGAGGTACCACTGTACATAAAACATAGTATATTCACAAACGTACACCATACATCGAGCTAATGATTTACGAATGACACAGATAAATGCACATATATAAAAGAAAGTATACAGGAGAAAGAAGATGCCAGTGTTTTATCCATGGATTTCTCCTCCTGGGTTTCCTAGATGGGGAACTTTATTCAGGCACTTCCACTGACTTCATGGGAAGCAATGCTGCTTTCTTCCGAACCCATCTTGACCAGCCTGAGCAAAACTACATCAGGACGGAGCAGAACCAAGATGATTGGTTAAATGGTATGTAAGGGAGTTTACATTTTTAAGAAAACTCTAATTTTTAAAAAACTATTATTTAGTGAATATACATACCCCTAACTATTCTTACGGACTCCTGGCAGTTTTATCAATCAAAACTAATACTTGGAATTGCATCCAGAAATCTATTGCAATGTGCATGCTTTTAATAGAAGAAACAGGCTGTTTAGATCTGAATATCCTTTCTTGCAGAGCCGGTGTTTATTGAGGCCCATGCCATTCCTGATACTTACAGCCATGAGGATGATAAAGTGTACATCTTTTTCCGGGAAACTGCGGTGGAAGCTGGACAGTGGGAAAAAAGGCGTATCCATGCTCGGGTGGCCCGTGTCTGCAAGGTCAGCAATGAGCGCTTCTTGTGTAGCTTAGAAGGCACCTCTATTTAACTGAGGTGCTACCTGTATATTTCCTGGAAAGCAAGCTCTTTGTGAACAATGGCATTTATCCCCTAGCAAAAGGTATTTAGCACTATAGATTAAATTAAGCATCTATGTAGATTCTATGGTACACAGTACTGCTTCTGGAAGGCGGATGCCAGCCACTAGCAGACAATGTTAGGTCAGGGCTAAATATGACTATTTCCTGCACTGGATGCATTCAGTCTGAATTTTACTCCAGCTCTCTTGAAACACAGCTGGGCATTTTGCCAGAGCAGAGGTCTTTCATAATGCAGAATTAGTACTCTAATTCAAAATAGCTACATGTTGACAGGGTGTCGGAGATTGTTCAGACTTTCTGAAATCTAGAGTGCATAAGTCATGACATCACTCCAATGATGACTACCTTTAGAAGGCAGTTGAGTGTGACTGTCAATCAGGGAAAAGCTTTTTTGCATACAATTGCATGTCTGATGGTTTCCATGAAAGCCAAATGCCTACACGATCAAGCTCTTGATTCTTGTGGCTTCTTTCTTGCAAATACCTATGTTCAAGATACAAGTATCTGCCAAAAGTTCACGTCCTTTAAGGGAGTTAAGCCGAGGATGGATCCTATCCATATGGTGAATGCTACAGATTTAAAACACCTGGATAAAACATGCACTGGAAACAAGTTCAAATTCCTTTAATTTAACTCTGCATCATTTCTCTAGGAAAAACAGTGAAAGTACAGTAGCTCTAAGTATCTGCCTCTCTCTTAATGATTGCACAGCATTCACCACCTTGTGTTTTAAGAAAGACCCCTTGAATTGTAAACATGATGCAATGGATGCATTCAAAGCAATCACTTAGAGTACTGGAGAGCAGTTGTGGGTGGACATGAAAATTATGCTTGACCTATTCCTGCTTCTGTTTGGCAGAATGATATTGGTGGGAAGCATAGCCTTATCAATCGCTGGAGCACTTTTCTTAAAGCACGGCTGATTTGCTCTATACCAGGTCTCCAGGGCACCGAAACACATTTTGATCAACTAGGTAAGGTTGCTTGCCTATTAAGAGCTGCCATTTCTAGAATAGAATCTGTCATCATAAGGTTGTAAGGGAATCATTCAAAGCTCTTCCCTGAGTTGGGTGTGTCCTGCTGTATTCTAGAAGATGTCTTCCTCCTTCAAACCCGTAACATACAGAACCCTCTGGTTTATGGCCTCTTCACGGTTTCCAGGTAAGTGGAAAACATGTACAATGAATAAAGAAAAAGAATTGCTTGTGCCCATGGATCAGCAGGAATGAGGATAGTACTTATTATACCAATAGCAGTGATGGCGAACCTTTTAAAGACCGAGTGCCCAAAAACTGGCCCCGCCCCCGCTCCATCCCCTGCCCCGCTCCCGCTTTGCCCCCACCCCGCCTGCCCACAGGGCCACTCACCGCCTCCAGGGCCCGCCGATCGCCCAGCAGCGCCATGGCGGCCACACCCTCTGCCCACGCCCCGCAGCAACAACTGTGCGCAATGGGGCGTGAGGGCAGAGTCTTGTCTACGCTGTCTGGCTGCCATGTCCTTGGCTGCACTGATCCGCGTGGGCCACGCTCAGCGACTCTCCTCCAGGGGGCTGCTGGTGAGGAGGGGGTCATGGGGGGAGGCAAGGCTGGGGCAACAGTACGTGTGCCCAAGAGAAGGCTCCGAGTGGCGCCTCTGGCACCCGTGCCATAGGTTCACCACCACTGCCAATAGTATAAGGCTTCCTGCTTTAGCTGGGGGTTGGACTAGAAGACCTCCAAGGTCCCTTCTTCCAACTCTGTTATTCTGTTACTTCAGTTATAGAAGGCATGCACACTAATCCATCCGAAGGGCTTTGAGCTGATACACTGAAATAGGATTCTGCAGTAGGTCTTTCAAGTTCCTGCAGAAATTGTGCCTGTCGCCATATCCTACCTGGCAGGATGAAGCTAAGGAGTGGATTTCATGCAGTTTTCAACTGCTGGGAAGAACTAAAGCAGTGATCCCCATGTGTTGAATCTCAGCTCCCATAATCTTCAGCTTTAACCGAGTTAAGGAATGACCTAGAAGGAAATTGGTGAAGACAAAAGCCTCCTCTTAAAGATGAGAGAGCAGTGAGAATGCTTTTGAAATAAAATGGCTTTCTGAAGGTCATCTTCTCTAAGGCCACCTCAGGCCTTCATCTTCCAGTTTCACAACCTTTAAATATGTTAAAAAATATTATCTAAGGTAGAAATCCTTCAAAGACATGGTTTTGCAGAATTGTACAAAGAAATATCTCTTGGAGTGATTTATGTATCAATATTATCCATCTCCCTACACTATTCTTTTCTTTCACAGTGGCATTTTTAGTGGTTCTGCAGTGTGTGTTTATTCCCTGGCAGCCATTCGGGCTGCCTTCAATGGACCTTTTGCACACAAGGAAGGCTTCGATTATCAGTGGGCTGAATATAAAGGACGGATCCCTTACCCTCGTCCTGGAACAGTATGTACAGAAAACTTGCTTTAGTCACTTTTTCTCTAACTGTCATATAAAGACTGACTAGGCAAAACAGCTGCTGCTGTTCAGACTTAAAACTACTATGGGTTATTGTCTCTTCCCACCTGGGCAACAAGGGCTCTTCAAGCCCTCTTTTTCCCTGCATGATTCATTTCTGATATGGGTGCTGGATCCACTCATGGGTCCCACAAATGGTCGTGAAGCAGTTTGTCCCAGGCAGTGCCACCAATCTGTAAGTAGGGAGGCTTCAGAAAATGCAAAAGTGGTCACATCCTACAAAAACGATTGTGCCATAGGCTATCACAGATGACAATTTATGGAAAACTGCATGCCACAAAGGCAATTAGGCTGGACTCTAATATTAGTGGATTTAGCTACCGTAAATCACAAGACTATGTGTCATGGAGTTGACCATTAACCCTTTTGCACCAGTCCCTTTTCAATATCTGTTCTTCCTGCCAGTGTCCCAGTGAAACATATGACCCATTCCTGCAGTCAACCAAGGACTTCCCTGATGAAGTGATTAGCTTCATGCGTACTCATCATCTGATGTGGGACCCCATCTATCCACTCCACAGGAAGCCTGTTCTGATCAGAGTCAATGTGCCTTTCAACATCCGGCATCTGTTGGTGGACAGAGTGGAGACAGAGGCTGGACATGTTGATGTCCTCTTCCTTGGAACAGGTAGAGGAGTTCAAGCAAGGATGTTCTGATTTTACTGTAAGACACAGCTTGAAATGTGATTTGACTTATTCAACTCAAAAAGGAAAGTAAAGAAAGAACTAGACTGTAATGTTAAGTGTACAAGTCTCTCTGTTTAATCAGAGAGTAATGTAATCAGCAACACTATGGTTTTTCTAGGATTATTCACTTTCAACAGCAAATATTGCATGAGACGTTAAAAATAAAGGTGAGTAGAACCTGAGCCTTTGTGTTGAGATGCAGGGGCATTATCTAAATTGGGCAACAACTGGTTGATGATAATTTGAGGGAGGAGACTCATGATGGAAGCAGCTCCCCCCCTTTACATTTGTATTGTGGAGGGAAAATAACAACAACAATAATAATAATAATACTCATCATCATATTTGATTGTCTTGCCAGTATGAGCAATCAGTCAGGTGCTTAGACTGGATTTGGCATTTTTATCCACCTATGGAGTCCTTCCCAAAAGTTTGGGATAGACAGTTGTGGCTGTCTGATGGTGTTAAAGGTTGATGCAGGGCAACAATGGGGAATTGGAATAATAGGGAAACAACTTAATGAATACAAATGGGCTAGTCTTTCCAAAAAAATGGCAATTAAATGGTCTCCTTTATTTCAAATATATATACATATATATATATATAATAATAGAGGGAGATCTATTTGACAATCTAAAAATACTGATATGGAAGCCTAGTTGGCAAAGGAAGAAAGCCAGAACAAGGCTGAAGAAAATTGGGGTTTTGATTTATTAGAGGGGATTTCATATTGTTAATTAGAGGGTTAAAGGGAGAAATTGAGATAAGGGGAATTCTGGTCATTAGATTTAAAATATTTGGAAATTAGTTGAAAATAAGGATTTTATCTGTTTAATATTTAAAAATTAGACCTAAAAGAAAAAAATATTATTATGAATATATTTGATTTATTGATTAACCCAGGTAATATATATAATGGTTTTGATTTATTAAAGGGGATATTGTATTATTTAGATGATTTAATATGGCGGGAAATAGATAACTTTTAAGAAATAGAACAAGATTATATTCAAATAGATAAAATGTGTATTTTGGATATTAGATTCTGTTATGAATTGAGATAAGGGAAATCTTGGTTACCTAAAACCTGAAAATTATAAATATCAAAAGTTAAATTGGAATATTGATGGGAAACTAAAAATTGGGGAAAAATTAATAACAGGATATGGATTGTTTATGAGGATTGAAATGTAAAAAACAATTAAGATACATATAAGCTAAACATTTATTGATAAATGTAATAATGATGTTTTTACTGAGTTGATATAATAAGAACTGTATTAGTTTAAATACGAGACAGTAAATGTTAAGGGAAAAAGAGAGGAAACATTTGATGTAACTTGAGATTTGTGCTATAGATTTTGTTATCGAACTACTGATTAACCCAGCCGCCACATTGCTTTTTAAATAGTTAAATGTAAAATTGGAAAATTAATAAAATATTATTAAAAAAAGGTTGATGCAGGATATAAGCTGTTCCAAGTAATGCTGCCTTCTGTAATTGACTGAGGGTGATTTTATCAATGACAGTGGTGTTTAAGACACCATTATAAAGAGATGTGATGGTGCAGTGGTTAGAATACAGTATTGCAGGCTAACTCTGCCGACAGCCAGCAGTTTGATCCTGACTGGCTCAAGGTTGACTCAGCCTTCCATCCTTCTGAGGTCGGAAAAATGAGTTCCCCAGATTGTTGGGGAAAATATGCTGACTCTGTAAACCACTTAGAGAGGGCTGTAAAACATTCTAAAGCAATATATAAGTCTAAATGCTACAGTGTTATTGCTATCAAGTGGTGCTCCGGAAGTTTGAGATTGCACACACCTATTTTTGTTTGTACTATGTTTGCTTGCTTTTTGTTTTTGCCACAGTCATTCTACTTCTATTTTTGGGTCTTTGTATTTTGTGATTTTCTCCAGTTCTTTCTCTTTTGTTCTCCTGGCTCCAGGTACTGCCAGCTCCACTAATTAAAAAATTAAAATTAAAAAAGTTGCCTGATTTTTATTTTATTATTTTATTTCATTTCATTTTTTTGCTCTGGAATCATCTTCTCCCCACTCCTTTTTCTTGTAGGAGTTGTAGAAGGATTCCACTCTGCCATCATTGTTTCAGAGAAGCAATGCAGTTCTGCTGTGATTGCTGCTTTTCCTTCTCCTTTACTGACAAGCTTACCACTTATCACATCTATCTTGGCCCAGGGTAGCAGTTGGGATTGTTTATATACTTCAGTACTATTTAATCGTTTCAGAGGCCTGGTTACAATTCCCTTGTTAAATAATTGGAATTAAATGGTACCCTTTTGAGCCAGACTATTGAAGTATTTACAGAGCCTCTAAAACAGGGGTCCTCAACCTTGGCAACTTTAAGACTTGTGGACTTCAACTCCCAGAATTCCTCAGCCAGCAAAGCTGGCTGAGGGATTCTGGGAGTTGAAGTCCACAAGTCTTAAAGTTGCCAAGGTTGAGAACCCCTGCTCTAAAACAATAAATTAGTGGTAAGCAATTGATAGCTGCCACTTTAAAATATATTAAAAAACATAAAACAGTGTTGCAATAATAGAATTTCCTTTTCAACCCAAAAAAATATGAAAGCATCAATTCATTGCATTACGCCTAACAAAATGGTGTTAGGAATACTTCCCAAAAAACATAAAATACAGCAAAGAAAATTGCATAATGATTTTGCTGGATGAGGATTTATTTCTCAGAAAAGCTATGATAGGACTAGAAAAATATATGGAACGGGTAACAAAATGGCCCTCATTCTGAAATACATTCATTGTCTCATGGTCCCTGTATGAATTACGTAACATAAGAAGGTGTATTGCATGAAATTAATGATGTTGCTATTTTTTTTATTGGAAATATTCTGGAAAACAACCCATCACATAATTCAAATGCTTTGATCAATGAAAATATGTTCAGTTTGCCCCTAAATTGTCCTAAAATTAGCTTTTTTTATAAATCTCATGCAAAGATGATGCATGTTAGGAAAGGACTTAGTTATCCCTGGGATAACTAAACACATAATCCACAAGGAGTGGCCTCATCCTTCACACTTGCATAGCTAGAGAGAGCTATCTGAGAGAAGGCATCCTCAGAAATCAGGATAACTCCAGTACCTTGGTGGATAAGATTATCCATAGATGCAGTCCTGCAGCCACAATCTTTTGAGCTTCTTCAGTGTGTTAGGTGATCCTGAAACAATGAAGAAGAATGTGGAAAATAGATCCGTTTTGGCCCATTTCTTTTTAACTCTTCCAGAAATGGATTTGCTCTCATATTGACTCTTCTGCCTGGTAATAATTCCATGCAGCCACAGGGGTACTCCCACCCAAAGTCCTCTTCACATACTTTTCTGTTTGGCTTCTCACAGATGAGGGCAAAGTACTTAAGGTGGGCATCTCCAACCGAGAAGGCCGAGGCTCTCAGGAGATCAGCTTGGAAGAGATCCAGGTTTCAAAGGTAATCAGAATACCTCTGTTACTCTTAAAACCTTTGTGGGCTGGAGTTGTCTAGTATGGTTCAATTTCCTGTGATCCGGTACATTGATTTGTGCTATTAATTTAATCCATGAGCCAGAAGTCAAAGTAATTATTTGTTAAGGCAAGATCTAAAGAAGTCAAGCATGACGTTGATGAGAACAATCAAGTATTATGTCTACATATACAGAGAGTGAAAATGAAAATCATGAATCCAGCTAATCTTTCCTGTAATATGGCCTATCACTTATCTGTCTTTATTATTCCTCTCTTTATGAAGGAATAATAAATGAAAATTAGACTATATCTAATTTTCATTCTCTTAAGAGTTTGGAGGAACTAAATAATATCTGATTTGTTAGCTGGACTCAGGATATCTGGGGTGAAGTTTTTTTCTTGACTATTGCTAACGAGGATCAGTTTCCCTGTAGAGACTGCTTTTTGTTTGCCACTTTTCTACATCTCTTTAATGTCATCTGCTGCTCCACCCAAATCTAGTAGCCCTGCATGCACAGATATTGTGGACATTGTTGCAGTGCTGGCCAAGAGCGTGAAAGCAACATCAGATCAGGAAATGATGTCGCTTGATTAATGGCCCAGGTTGTCCCAGTCTATCACAGAAGATTTTCAGGAACAGAAAATTTTAATTTATAGCCCTGCAAAAATCCAGACGACCACTAGATGGCAGCAGAGAAGTCTAGAGAAAACCTTAACGCTTTCTACCCTCTGGTTGTCGTCATAATTGTGAAGCACGTATGTGGCATGCCTAAGCTCAGGCACCAGTCTAAAGTTTGTGTGGAACCCGGGGATGCGGGCATCCAATTCAAAATGGAATTTAGAGTATCATTGCAAAATGCTGCTGTTTTCTGTTTCTTGCAGGTGCCATCAGCTATCCTAGACATGCAATTTTCCCTAAAGCGGGTAAGGCAGCATTTGTTATACTAATTGTAAGCTCTCCCAAAGACGCTTTTCCACGAGGCAACGGGACTTTCCTTGTTTTTCTTTGAGGACGTTTCGCTTCCAAGCTGAAGAAGCTTCTTGGATGAGAAGCGAAACGTCTTCAAAGAAAAACAAGAAAGTCCAGTTGCCTCATGGAAAAGCGTCTTTGGGATAACTATGACCTGGATGACTGAGAATCTCCATAGACACTAAGCTGTTTTCTTCAAGGCAAAGGGGGACAGCTGAACCCCAAAGGCATCTTCCCATACCCCAAACCTTTAGAGCAGTGGTTCTCAACCTTTTTAATGCCGCGACCCCAACCGGTCGTAAGTCGAGGACTAAACCGGTCGTAAGTCGAGGACTACTCAACCGGTTGTAAGTTGAGGACTTTCCCTGCCCGGGAGCGCTGCGCATGTGTTCCACCCCCTGCGCCGGCCGAGGCGTAGCTAGCAAGCGGCAGAGACGGAGCAGGCCGACCACCAGCTGGCCCAGCTCAAGGGAGGTAAGGCACCCGCCGGAAAAGGGGGAAAAAATGGCGGACAGCCTTGCTTGGAGACCCCCGTGAAATGGTCGATCGACCCCAAATGGGGTCCCGACCCACAGGTTGAGAACCACTGCTTTAGAGCAACCTCCCAGAGTCCTGCCAGAGGGTTTTAAGTAACAATTTTTAACTTGTCAGAAAGAGAAATGATTACATGCATGAACAGAGTAATCAATGTAACTATCTGCATAAGACATATACTAAATATCACTTTTAACTCCATTAAATGAAGTATCGTGTGGGGGGGTGTTGTCCAGTCCCTAAAATTACTTTGGACAGTCTTGCCCCTTTGACTCATTACTCAAAGGCCAATATTAAAAGATCCTTAATATTAAATATTAACATTTAAATAAATCCTTTTCATATTTCCTATTAACTTAGGAAAAGCATCTTCTCTATCGCCTTTTCCTGCCCCCCTCCCCCCAATATTTTTGCCCCAGAGTTTCGGGGGAGGGGAGGCTGCAGCCTCCAGGGTGTTACAATAAGTTGCATGGCCGTATTTCTGCCCTGTCCCTTTGAGCAGCAGGAACTTCTCGTGAGCACTGCGAAAGGGCTGGTGCAGCTCTCCATGTATCGCTGTGAACTCTACGGCAAGACGTGTGCCGACTGCTGCCTTGCTAGAGATCCGTACTGCACCTGGGATGGCAAGTCCTGCAGGGCCGTTCTGCTCACTAAGAAAAGGTGAGAGGTTTCCCCCCCTTCGCCCCTCCTGCTTTGCAAAGGGGGCCTTTCCCCCCTTTATAACTGGGCCACTTTCTTGCAGCCAAGAATTGCATTTTTAATTTTGGGGGTATCCAAGGACCACAGATGTGATATCACTTTGTTGGGGTAGGCAAGGGCAAATTTCCAGATTTGTAAACATGGGGTTTTTTTTTGGGGGGGGGTAGTTTTCAGAAGCAAATGGATACTTTTAAGTTAGGCCATTCTGCTCTTAATCACTTTGCACCATCACCGTACGTGGGAAGATTCAGCCCAGCTTTGGGGTTGTTCAGAGGCTTTCAGGGATATGCAGGTTTTCGCGGGTGTTTGTATGTAGGTCTTTAGTTATTCGGGTTTTCTCCCACGTAGAATTAAAAGTACCTTGGCGACGTTTCGACGAAGTCACATTCGTCATCTTCAGGCTGGTGTCTTCAGCTTCGTGCTCCTAAGAGTGGTGTGTGATCGCAGCTGTTTCTTCCTTTTAACTGCCAGTGGGGTTGGAGCTGATTG